CGTTTAAATAGGTTGACTTGGGACATTTTTTTCGTGGTTTTTCTATTAGACCCGTCGTCCATTTATTTGTAAGTCAATGGTGGTAGTGACCCGTTTAGCTTTTACAGGTACTCCCAATTGAAGATGTTTAAATATTGTAATGATAAATGTATTCAAATGTATATTTACAAAGAGCAACCCAAAAGAGTTTCTGGCTCATTCTTCTAAGGGGAATTGGCCTGATCCTGCGAATGATCAGTAGAGTTTAATCAGTAGAGTAAAACCGGGATAGATGCCGCAGTGGGATAGGTGCCTCGTTTTCAAATAACCTAATTTCTCAAAATCGCAACAAAAAATAACGCGACAAATGGTTCAAAATTTCAGACGCAAGCAATTCCTTTTGCACGACTTTGTAAGTTATAATAAATTCCGTTTTATTTTTATTATAACAATACGCTGGTTCTTTAACTGCGCACCAAAGTGTCAATAATCGCTCTTTTGTATATAATTTAGTTAAATAATAAAAGGGCATCTATCCGTATCAAAAAAGATAGTCTGCCCTTAGGGGCAAAGGACAAGACAAGAAAGTTAGGAAAAGAAAAAAAAATAATTTTGATGATTCTTTTTTTCTTGGAAAGAGGGTACCTCAGAAGTAGTTCCATTTCATTTAGAAAGAAAATCATCCCCCGCTAAGGATGGCTGTTCACGCATAGAGATTCATTTTTACAAATAGCTCCTAAATTTTATTATAAGAGCAATTATTTTAATGGTTAATTTTGCTATTCTCCAATTCGAGGCGTTTTTCTCTTTCAAATATACTTTGAGTAGTGAGAACCGATTTTTATTATCTCCTGTGTCAGTTCCGTATAGTGGCGAATTAGGGGATGAATCCGGGTATTTTTTTAATTATAAAGTTCGTAAATGACAAGTTTTGCATATCAACAGGAATCTTATTTTAGAAGCTTAGACATTGTCCTTTAAATGAATTAATGACTTTGTGGAGACAATTATCATGAACAGCTGGTTTATTTTTGATTATTTGTACTAAATTTATGTCTGTACCTATTTTTCATAAAAACAATACTATTCTTTTTACCATAAATTACATTTTCATAAATGTGCTGTGACTTAGAAGGCACAGAAGTAGGATCATCTCTCTCCTTGGATGCCATTCTTATTTATTTGAATGTAGATAATCTGGCGACGAGGTTAAATACAATTACACCTTTATTATTATTATTATTGTTATTTGCTATATTATTATAAAGCTACAAGTTTTTACTTACATAGATCAATAGAACGTACTCTTCCCGATATAATGGAAAATTATTTGTTATGCAAGGCTGCAAAGTTTTTGTCGGCGCGAGCGCTTTTATGGAAACTTTCGCTCGTGGTTCAAAAATTGAATCCTGAACGTAGGGAGGGTTTCAAGCCACGAGACGCAAAACAACTTTGCACAACTTTTCAACACAACTTTTCGCCTCACTGTATCGTATAACAGTTGAACTATAACAAATCAGTTTTTCATCACCGTTGGACTCATGTTTTCTTTCTTTTCAATTTATTACAGAACAGTTCAATCCAAAGTAGCGGGCGGAAGGGATACATGACAATTTCCTGACATAAAAAAGATTTGTTTAAATACTCACTACTTCTCACTACTGGTTTTGGTACGCGGTTTATGCACCCGTAGCCACTACAGGTGTTTAAACCGCGGTTAAACAATCATTTATATTTCTTATGTAGTTCAAGTGGTTACATTAATACAAGGAATAAATTGTCATGTATTTATTTCATCGCAAATAAATACATGATTGTTTGTTGATGACACGCTTGTTTTTCATCACATTTACATTTAGGCTAAACAGTTATCAACAATTTTTTTCAAATTCAAATTCAAATTCAAATATTTCACTCATTCATTTTATTTAAGAGCCATGCTCTTGTCGGTGTAGCCTCCTCCACTACCATTTTTGCTACTTTTTCGGGAGATATTGTGCAGTGGTTTCCCGCTTGCCTTCTGCACCGCGGTTCATCGGCCGGGAGGTCGCCCGCTGATATCTAGATAGAAGCCTTTTCAGAACATACTTCTTCCGCCTTCTACCAGTACTAGCACCGCCGCTGCCCGATGCTAGGGGAAAGCTTTTAAAATGGCGGCTTTTTCTCGCCATGTCACAGTCGTCGTCGTAGGACTTAATGCAGTATTTTATAAGCAAACCCATCCCACCGGGTTTGCCACTACATCCTGTTAACGCTGCCGCTGCTTGGTTGGGGACTGCTTATTCAATATATTCAAATATTTATTTCAAATAAAATCCATATAGAGTTAGTAAACCAAACAACTTAAGAACTAGTGTTAGTATTAATATTATTATAATTTGAAAGACTACTTATACATTTAAGATAGAGTGGAGTTCTATCCACCTACGCAGGAGTGGCGAATCCCACCGGTCTTTAAACAAACACAGGATGCCGTTGGAGCTATCACGGAGGCGCCTTAGCGCAGATGCACACCTTTTCCTCATGATGGCCATGAAACTGTCCATCTGAGCCTCGGCGAACATCCCCGATGCACTACACCTCCACGGAAGCCCCATCAGCACCCTGAATGCGTTATTATATTGAACACGCAAATGCTGCTGACTGCACGTGTACAGCACTTGACTTAATTACAATAGAGAATTTTTTTCGACTTCGTTTATTTAACGATTTAACAAATGTGATATTTGTTCGTATGTGATTATGGTATTATCATAAAGAATTAATATTTGTTTTAGTGTGCTAAATGGGACAGCATGGGAAGATCCGAAACCATAGAAGATACAAGGAAACTGTCGTAGAAACTATTAAGGTTTTTTATTTGTGAAAACAATTTTGGGATAGTAAATTTTTTGGTCAAGCATGAGTTGTTAATAAAAATAATCTCAGTACAGACTACTAAAAAACCGACCTCAAAAGAACGTGGTATTACGTCTATTTGCTAAGTTTTATTGAAATATCCCCTAGTTCGCCACTATACAGGACTTGACACTGGAGATAATAAAAATCGATTCTCACTATTCAAAGTACATTGAGAGAAAAAAACGCCTTGAATTGGAGAATAACAAAACCAACCATTCAAATAATTGCTCCTTAAGTAAAATTTAGGCGCTATTGACAAAAATGAATGTTCATGCGTTATCAGCCACCCTTAGAGGTGTATGATTTTCTTCAAAATGAAAGGGGTCACCATGGCAAATGAAAATCGGTTCACAAATACCGGAATTATCGCGTAACATACGTACAAGAAAAAAACATACAGTCCAATTGAGAACCTCCTCCTTTTTTGAAGTCGGTTAATTAGTAAAAGTGATCAAAATTTTTTTACTGCTGATTATCACGCTTGACCAAAAAATTGACTATTCCAAAATTATAAAAATTCGGCCGGATTGGAACCGATGTCTCATAGCAAATTCTTTTTCTGCTGGCACGGTTTGCAAGAAGACGTCGTTCCTTACTTTGTAATAATAATTATAACAAACTAGTAGAGCAATTTGCAAAATATAATTGAATATCATGGTGGTGAAACATCCTGCCTTTCAATAAAAATTTAATTACAATTAATAACGACATCTCCAGGCAGGGCTCGTAGCTGTTAAGGTGCCTAACTGGGTGACGAAATACTTTCATAGACTTCTCATACCCTACGGCTAAAAAGTCGTTAAAAAGCAGATGCAAAGGTCCGACAAACAAGCACATAGAAAAATTCGTGAGGTCCGCTGGTTCGTTCGGCTTAGTTGGCATAGTGTCTAGCACAGTTTGCTAGAAGATGTCGGTTCGAATCCGGCAGGATCGAAGGGATTTTTTTAAATTAATAATTATTCCAAAATTGTTTTCACAAAAAAAGATTTAATGGTTCTTAACGAAGTTACCTTGTATCTGCTATGGTTTCGGATTCCCCATACCGTTCTATTAAATAAACACTCTGTGTATCATTGACTTACAATTATAGGTATGGACGTCGGTTCTGCGCTAAAAAGTGTCCGAACTTATAGGGCGTTAAAATCGTATACAGAGCGTCTTTCACGCTCTATGTAGTCTTCGTTTGTTCGACTGACAGCGAAGCAAGCAGAATTAGACAGTACTGCGATGACATTATAATTTAAAGTCAACGTTTTAGCTTTTTCATATTGCTTTACATGTCACTACGTTTAAATAGGTTGACTTGGAACATTTTTTTCGTGGTTTTTATTTGTAAGTCAATGCTGTGTATTGATGCATTTTTCTTCATAAGTTATTCAATTCAATCCACTTGTTGAGACGATCCAAGATTTTACATGCACTGCCCAGTCTACCATTATTTTAAATTTTGTGTGCAAAGGCTCAATGTGTACGTATAGTATTATCAAACTGATGCTAATTCCTCGGTAGTTTGCGATGGATTGCCTTCGACAATAACGCGCAACTCGTCAGGGAAAAGTGCGCTTGTCTATTGTCCGTGCTTGTCTATTACAGTTGCTAATATTTCCGAGACGTTTACGCTGCATTTAGCGCGTTTGTGCACTACTTCCGATTCGTATACGTTTTGAACTTCTCACTTCGGATGTCTCTTGTGCACACATCCGACTCGATTTGGACAAAATACGAATATCGTTTATACACCTGGAGATAAAATAACGCTTCGGACGGCTGTGACGTTTCGGCCCGTCATTTCTCGTATTCGGAAGTGATACGGACCAGATGTAATGCGTAAGCGCTTTACTCGTCAATAGCATTGGCACTAAACAAAGGAGATTTTAATTTTTTCTCCAAAAATATTTTATTTCATTTCAACCGTACAAAGCCCAAAGCATGTGATGCTACTTTCTGCTCACTGTGATTTTATCTCTGAATATAGCCGCCATTTTGCGGTAGGAGGAGCGCATCGCGTGAGCGGTTAGGTTTTCGCGATTGTTACACATGACAACTGGAAATGAAACTATTTTTCCGGATTTATATCGCGTTTATTTGTTTTTTCAAACCTGTACCTGTAAAGGGCACGAAATGTCGTTTTGTTTGTTGTCGTGTTGTTTTGTCGTTCTTTTACTGTCATATATATGTTTTGTTCATTCAGGTCAAAGGCAACTCGATGACAAGTTGAATCCAGTTCAAGTAGTAGAGCCTCCAAAACCAGATCTGCCGTATGCCGTCTGTTATCGTCGAAGATCATCGGGGTTAAGGTACTACTTTGATCCAGATGCGAAACCTGTGCCTCCAAAAAGAACCACATCTCTAAATCTTCCTTCTGAAAACGATATCGCCTCAAGGCCTTTGCCACCTTTGCCTCACGAAAAACGAAGAGCATCTCAGGAAACAGTAAGGGTGACTTTTGATGACTATTTCTGCGCAAGTGCTGGTGCGAGGTTTGAAGATCCCAGCAGCTCACACTACTCTGCAGGTAATTTTTTTATACTTCGTTGCAAAGACTAAGTTCTTCTAGACTAAGTTAACTTCAAATGTTATGTAAGTAAGTTCGGTATGTTGTTTACGTGATGAGCTTTGCAAAGAGATAAACTTAGCTAATAATAACTTGTTGTATTCAAAATTTTGGAGAAACGATTTACTAAGCTATCTACAAATCACATTAACTAGTTCGTTCATGGTCTCTTTGTTTTCAAATGTCACGTTAGTTTAATAGCTCAAACTGGGTAGATAGAGAGGATAGTGCTGGTGTCTCTACACCAGTCAATCAGTTTAATTAGTTGTCTGTCTAGGTCCTATGACATGATGGTGATTGCCATATAAAAATAGGGAGTGAAGCGCATTGACAAGATGGACTTTTGTGTTTGAGATACTTGGATAGAAAATAATGGCGGGTTCTCTCTGTAAATTTGCCGCGCGACATTTTCAGTCTGTTTTAACCTAATTCATCTTTTGTGCTTTCGAACTAATTATTACGAAAAAGGGATTAACGTATTAAATGCAATAAACTAACATTAGTGTTCATCGCCGGCTTACTTAACGAATTGATGTCGAAGAGTGAATAGACCAATTGGTATCAAATCATTCCTGACACATTCCGAGTTTCCCCCGACGTCTCCCTTTACGGTTATACTCTGACACACATATATTATATCCGCTCACGCGATGCGCTCCTCCTACCGCAAAATGGCGGCTATTTAGTTTCGCAAATTAGAAAAGCATTCAGTTTAAATACAAGTTTTTATAAATAAAAATTATTATTCTGCATTGCTAAATAAATACCCTCCGTACTACCAACAAAAACATCTCAAATAAAATGCAGTGATACACCGCAAATCCTGCACTTAAAAAGCACTAATGTAATTTTTGGTGTACTTGGATAAATATGATAATATTCCGTTTGAGTGATTCTAACGTTTACCATGAAACTACTCCTTAAAGTATAGTTTATAAACATTTATATTCAGGGTAAACTTAAAAAACGCTACTTACGGTATGTTTTCAATAAATAAACACCGAAATCACCAGCTCAAACAATAACACACACGATTGTCGTGACGTATTTTTGAAGTTGTTTATTTTTTTTAATGACAGACTCAGGCATTAAAAACTTTATGGTTTGCTAGAGTAGTTACCGAAATAGCATTTAATCTTAGTTCTTTTACCTGTTATAACTTCGATATCCGATAACTCGGTATAAAATCATCACCGGCACCTCTAGGTGTGGTATGCGTCTACGGCTGCATGTATCGCGTCAGCGGATATACACAAGTATATATGATACTTTTTCTTGACAAGACATTCCTTTCAATCAATTTATTGAGATGGCAAAGGCTTTTACATACACTGGCCGTTGTAGTTCGAATAATTCATAAAGTACCCATTACTTTAGATTTCTTAACAAATTTAGAGTATTTAAAGCGTTGTAAGTAACTTGGGTGTCATATTTGATCCAGTACTTGTAGTTTAGGCCCCGCCACGACTTCATATGCAATAAAGCACATAGAGTGGAGTGTTATATATTTTATCCTCCATCTAAACCATCCGAAATTTAGGCATTCATTCATAAATAACTCTTTGGTTAGAAGTATCTTGGAATACTGCCCTATGTACAAAGTCTACATTCACAGAGTTGTTTCTGTTCAACGTCGATTCTTGAGATGACTAAATGCAAAATTCGGACTAATCGCAATTTTAAACGATTCTATCGTGCAAACGATAAGGTGGCTGCCGTGAACCGATAAATTATCGTCATGATTTAGTGGGAACAGCTAGACACGACAGTCGTTTAACGATAAAATAAAAAGTTACGACGACATATGGGAACGCGCTCTAACACTAAAACCATTCGAAATTCAGGCTCATTAATATCAGTATTATTGTTTAACTCCGTGGTTAGAAGTATTTTGGAATATTACGCTCCTATTTGGTGCCTTAAGTACAACGCGTACGTTGAAAGAATTGAGTATGTTCAACAATGATGTTATACTTGTAATGTTCAACGTCGAAGTCCAAATTCAGTAAGCTCTCTAATTACACTGATCGCTTACTATTACGCAAATTCAACATTTTATTTATTTATTTATTAAGGTTCATCAACTATTGTTACAACAAATACATTATGAGTGGTTTCTATTCTAGGGTTTATACTAATTGCACAATTTTTAACAGATGAACACCACGTGCAAGTAAATTAGTGAATTCAAAAAAGTAATCCGCGAAGTGCTACACTTGTATCTATGTATTTACTTAAATAGTAAACAATATTATTAAAAGAAAAAAAAAAGTTTTGAAAGTTTCTTTAGGTCACGATGATGTAATCGATCGACGGAATTTAACCAAAGAGTCGTGAAATATATCTAAATTATTGATATTAACGATAAAATGGTTATACAAGCTGCATAGACGAGGAACTGGCGAGTTGCGACCCGCTACTGTCCTGCGAATGGGCGTCGAAAAGAGAACTTTAATTCTATGACGGGGATATCTATGCGTCACTTTAAGTTTGAATTGGCTAAGGAGTGAAGAACAGGATCGTAGGCAAGTGTCACATCTTTGTACTTTGCATAATATTATATGTATGTTTTGTTCATACAGATCAAAGTCAACTCAATGAGAAGTTGAATCCAGTCGAAGTAGTAGAGTCTCCAAAACCAGAATTGAATACGGCAGCGTATTGTCGTCGAAGAACATCCGATTTAAGGTACCTTTATCAAGAAGGAACAAGTGAGGCAGTTGAGTCTCGGAGAAGAACCTCGTCTCGAAATCCTCCTTCTGGGTCCGATATCGCCTTAAGCCATTCGTTTTCGCCGCCCGTACCAAGAAGAGCATTTCAAGAAACAGCAAGAGTGTCTTTTGATGACAAGTTCTGGGAAAGTACAGGTGCGAGGCCTAAAGATCGTACTCCCTCATATAGCTATGCAGGTAATTGTTTTTTGGACTCCGTTGCAAGAACTTATTGCCGAGATTCAACCACTGTGATAATTAATTGTTTTTTATTACGATATTGTCATAAATAATTAATATTTAGAGGTATATATATATATATATACACATATTTATATATCACCATATAAATGTACTTACGAGTACATACGATACTTTTTTGCTCACAATATATTCAATTTAATCGATTTATTGACTTGGCACAAGTTTTAACTTGCTCTGCCCATTGTAGTTCTAATAATTCGTGAAGTATCCATTATTTTAGAGTTTTTTTTTAAACTTGGAGCAAAGCGTTGTAAGTGACTTGGGGATGTGTTTGATGCAGTGCTTTCATTTAGACCCCATCACGACTTCATATTATGCAATAGAGCAATAGATTGTTAACTTTTATTAGAGCGCTTTCCTATTATATCGTGACAATGGGAAGAGCCAGAACGACAGTCGTCCAACGATAAATAAAACGTCACGATAAAAATGTGACAACAAATAATCTCAAGTTTAAACGATTCTGTTGTGCAAACGATAAGGCGGCTGCCGTGAACCGATAAATTATGAACAGGATCTACTGAAAACAGCTAGACACAACAGTCGTTCAACTATAAATAAAAAGTTACGTCGACATAATGGAAACGCGCCCTAACACTAAAACCGTTCGAAATTCACGCTCATTAATATCAGTATTATTGTATAACTCCTTGGTTAGAAGTATCTAGGAATATTATGTTCCTATTTGGTGCCTTAAGTACAACGCCTGTATTGAAAGAATTGAGTATGTTCAACAACGATATTATACTTGTAATGGTCAACGTCGAAGTCTAAATTCGAACTACGGCGTAAGCTGTCCAATTGCACTGATCGTTTATGCAACTTCTACATGACCGTCTCGAGGATCGTAGGCAAGTGTCAGATCTATGCACTTTGCATAAACTTGTTAATTCTACCCTGAATTCTCAGCTGATCAAACATCTCTTTTGTAAGCACAGACATAATAGCTAAATAAACGCCGCAAGTCTACTTCGCGTGCCCAATTTCAGTTAGGCTCAACACACACTGGCGCAGAATCGATGCGTCACGTCGCGTTCTGTTTTTCAACTACAATGCCTGGCGACGCGCGACGACGCTCGCATTAGTGCGTCCGGATCACAGTGTGGTTGGCTTCTGACGCCTCACTGCGCTCAAGTAACGCGCGACTCCATATTTGCATAACATAAATTTGTACCTTAATAATGGGAAAATAGAGACGAATATGCTGTAGGCGAAAAACATGACGCGTCGCGACGCATCGACTCTGCGCCAGTGTGAGTTGAGCCTTATAGTGCTCTAAAACAAGTATGAGCAGAAAATAACGTCATTATTTTGATTAACGTGTTTCCTTTCCTCTTATAATAACATTGTCCTAATATGAATGTTTTGGTTATCAGATTTATAATGTTCCATTTGTAATAGTTTTAAGTATTATTTTGTAGTCTGTTATCTGTTGTTGTACAGGGTCATAAGCACGTCAAGCTTGACACTTAACGCCTTCATGGACTGTCCTGAAATAATACGTCACACCAAATGTCACTACTTTTCTTTGTGTCGTAGTGACCATATTGATTCAACATAATTATTACGCTTTATCACTGACGGCTGATCCCGTCGACATTCATACTTGGTACTTGGTGTAACGGGCTGGTGTCCGCAACACGACGTCAAGGCGCCTATTTTGCATGTGGTGGGTGCAGGGTCCTACTCGTGCCACCCAAGCTGCTCCAGGAATCTCAGCAGCCTCCTCGGTTTGCTGAATACTTCGGGGAGCGACCTTGGCACTCCAAGGTACTTTGCCCTGTAGTTGGCCACGCCGGAGCACTGTAGTAGGATGTGCGCAGCCGTTTCCTCCCCCTCCATTCACGCTCTGTATAGAGGGCTGTCTGTGATACCTACATTGAAAAGGTGTTCATTGTATGGACCATGACCCGTTAGGGCGGCAGTTAGAGTGCGAAGCTCTTGCCTTTTGAGTTTAATAAATATGCGAGATAGACTGGCATTGAGCATTGGGAGTGCTTCCCTCGCCTGTCTACAGACCGTAAGGGTCGTCCATGCATTATTATGTGACGATTTTGTACCTTTGTGTGTACTTGTTCTGAACCATTGGTAGGGGAGGGACACTGTGGGTTCTGGTCCTATAGCGTCCATCTCCGACCATTTTCTGGCTAGTTCCTCTGCCGCATCATTGCCACGTGAGCCGCTGTGTCCTTTAATCCACTGCAGGGCTACGTGGTTCTGCATACATACCTCCATGAGTGCTCGATGGCATTCATAAATGAGCCCTGAGTTTATGTAATAGCTATGTCGACATTCATAGCAGTTAACTAAGTTAACTGTTCTAGCAAATGTTTCTTGTGCATAAGTAAGTACGGCCATGACAGTGGTGCGGTGATTATATCCAGCAAAAAAATGTCTATACATTAAAATAGACTACAACGTAAAATAACGTAACCCTTGCAGTATAAGAACAAATAAAAGTTATGTACTAACAATTCCAAAAGAGACAATTACTAATTACATTATATTTAAGCAGCGATGAAAGTTATTTATTTACCATTTGAAAGTAGTAAGAGAGGTGATTTTGATTACTAGTAGCACACTGTATGTATTGTTTAGTTATTCATAAAATTTAAACGAAAATTAAGTAATTCATTTCACCTAGTTGGCAGAAAATACCTACCTAAGTAATTTGATTTTAAGTGTGAAAACACGTTTCATTATTACTTATTATAGAATAGGGTTTCTGCAGTACACATTATTAGTTTGTTGAGTTACTAAAAACCTATGCATTTAGAGAAAAAAATGAGGGATTTTTTACTGTCAGAAAGTTCCAGCGCGAAAACAAACTACACAATCACAAAAGACAGTCGCTGGCGACGCACTGACTTATGCTGTCTTACATCACCTCATACAAACACGTCGGTATTCACCATACTGTCTTGGTGTGCACATATTAAATATGTGTGTGTATCGAATGTATCTCAAATAAATCATTCAATTTTGTCAGTACATTGTTGATACTTCTCTATGGAGAAGCAGTAGGCGGCAGCTACGAAGAAAGTACTTAGAATACGCACGGGATACCTCGTATTGTCCATATTCGAATTTTTCATTTTACAGTTAATGCCGTTACTGTCCATGAAAAGGTTAAGACTTAAATCCAACTCTATGCCGCTTACGATAAGAACGGTCCAAAGTACAAAGTGTCAAGTTTGACGTGCTCTTGACCGTACCATATGAAATAAAATTAAAATAATAATAATGGATCAGTTAAGTACGAAGGTGTAGTGTTGCCAAAGTGCTGGATCGGCCTCAACAATAACGTGCATCTACGAAACATGTTATAATTATATTTCGTAATTGTTAAATGATGTGTGCTGTGTTGTTTCTTTATGGAATAAGTATATTTCTTTCTTTTGTCTTTCTTTCAACTTGTCAGGTTAAAAGTGCGCTTGTCTGTTGTATCTTGTCTGTTGTATGTTAATATTTTGAGTTATTTACGCTGTATTAGTTGTCATTAGCATTGGTATTAAAAAAATGCACTAACTTTAGAAAAGAAAAGGATATTTTAATCTTATTCCAATATTTTATTTAGATAGATAGATAGATAGATAGATAGATAGATAGATAATTCGTTTATTTGCCGAAACACAGTACATTACAAAACAAACTTACAACAAAGGTACAATAGTAGAATTAAAAAAAAATAATAATAATAAAAAAGAAAAACAAACTAGTCTATACATGATGTGGAAGTGTTATATTGTGTGGAGTGTAGATTTGCGTGTACTGCGTCAGCAAAAAGGACCCAACTCAGCATTATGTCGCAGCTCAGTAGAACTACGACGCTGCTGGTGATTCTGCTAGGTCCTAAATGAGCCGGTAAAAAAAGAAGAGAAGATTTATATTAACGAATTGAAACTGTGTCAGTGTGTATGAATATAATTATAATTATGATATTAACTGTAATATGAAATATAATATAATACAAAATAATATATGTATACGTATACACATGCACAACACACATACACATACAATACACATATAAAAAACAAATAAAAACAAACAAATAAAATTCTACCGTCATCCAAAAAATAACAAAACGGAACACTATCTAATGTGACAACTATATGCACTACCGCAGATGTATTCGCTAACTACGCTCGCCAATACTAGATACGGCCTACCATATTAATTTCATTTTTATAACTTTATTTAAAATAACATAACATATTTTATTTTTTATTTATTTATTTTATTTTATTTTATTTCATTTGAACTTATGGCGTCTGTTTCAAATACTCGCGAAATTATTTTATAGAATATATTTTTTTAATGAACATTTAAAAGAATAGATTGAGGTAAGATTTCTAATGGGGGGTGGTATGTCATTCCATATTTTGGTCGCATTGTATTTGAAACAACCACGGAAAGCTACCGTTTTATGGGTGGGAACAATGAGCAGCGGGACGCACGATCTAAACGGCATGACTTGTCTATTTGAACGCCATTTTAGTTTTTTTAAAGGTAAGATGGTACTTGGTTCTTTATGATTCCAAATAGCAGAGTCGCAGTGTATATAGTTTTTGACGTTCGCTCATGTTTAGAACTTTAAAAGATTGAAGATATGGCGCGACATGGGTACGTGGTGGTATTCTAAAACAGTATCTTGCACAGGCATTTTGCACACGCTGAATCAATTTTTGGGATTTTTTTGTAACGCAGGACCCATACACGGTGACGCAGTAATTTAGTTTAGATAGTACTAGTGCATCACAAAGCATTATCCTCAAATCCAAATTTATGAGATCTCGAATTCTGTATAATACTTTATTTGATTTCATTGTGTCCATAACGTTAGAACGGCTTTTTGATAACTTCGCCCCTAATCGTACAAAGCTCAAGGCATGCGATGCCTTCCCTTCTGTTCACTGTAGTTTGATCTTTGTCCCCCTTTAAAATAGTTTTAGTCCAAGCAGTAATACCAAACATATGTTTTGTTCATATAGGTCAAAGGCAAATCAATGAAAAGTTGTATCCAGTCGAAGTAGTAGAGTCTCCAAAACGAGAGCTGCCGTATTCCGCCTATTGTCGTCGAAGATCATCGGGTTTAAGGTACCTTCATCAAAAAGGGACAAGTCAGACTGCTGAGCCTCGGAAAAGAACCTCGTCTTTAAATCTTCCTTCTGGGTCCGATATCGCCCCAAGCTATTCGTCTCCGCCGCCCGTACCAAGAAGAGCATTTCAAGAAAAAGCAAAGGTGTCTTTTGATGACAAGTTCTGGGAAAGTACAGGTGCGAGGCCTAAAGATCACTGTAGCTCGTCAAAAAAAGGCAGACATCGAAAATCAACGACAACAACGGAGAACGCAGAACACTGCCATAGGTCCCTTCCAAAAGATGATGTTGAACAAGAGAAACTTAACAGGGATTCGGAACTTCTGCCACTTGTCGGTATTTTAAAACACCCAAGTACCAAATGGGAATCATCATCAGAACATGAAACTTTAAAAAACCAATGCACATCACAATTTAGCGATATTAGTGATAATCCTTCTTCTGTAGATAATTCAGAATTGGATAACACTAATACTTCGCTCATTATAGCAAAAGAGCGAAGTGCTAATGTTGAACATCATTATTTACATGAAGACCCAAGGTCTGCCCCACATGAAGATTACCGATACACGGACAAAAGTGCGTCCCCGCGTCGCCGTCAACTCCCTTCACTTGAACGACTAGACTCTCCGTTACCGTTAACAGAATCTCTCGAAGATATACATCTTTGGTCGGGGCGAAGATTCAGTGCCGAATATTATAACGAACGAGTACGTGCCTACAGACTAAGCCGCTCTCGTATTGCTGATACAATATCTTTCAAATCAAAAGAAAATTTGCACTCATTCGAAGGATTTTCTTCTTGTGAACGGTATTCAACACCATCAATATCACCAGAGTCCCCACTACTACCTAGTTTCTCAAGAGACTGGACAACCCTGTCTCCAGGATATTATTGCCGAAGAGAAGACTTCAATTTACCATGCCCGTCGACACCTTCGCAACGTTTTGATAGGCGATATTGGAGAACTTCTAGCGAGGAACGTCCTGTAACATCACCGACTTCTTCTGATCGGACTTTGTCTTCTGAATATTTATTTCGAAGGCTAAGTGAAGACCTAAGTTTAACAGGCTCGTCAACAGAACCTCAACATACTTACGCAAGAGATAGGAGAACGTACAGTGATATACAAGGGTACAGAGAACAACGTTCTGTAGTACCACTACCTACGCGCTATCGTGCCGTATCTTCGGATTATTTATTGAAGCGAAGATTAAGATCTGGGGTAAAATTTTACCACAATAATACCAGGATTTAAGAAAAAATAACATAGAGATGGGGAGGATGGAGCGCAGCGCTTTGGAGGAGCACGAGAGGAAAATTATCATCGAATTTTGCCACTTACTTGAAAAAAGTAAACAGTTATTTAATGGACTAAGGTGGGTTAAATTACAAGAATTGAAAATTTTAATTAACTATTTTGAAGATGTGTCACTTATGTACGTTGGATATTATTACAGAGAGCTTCCTCAATATGGTCACAAGCAATGGCACTCATATTTTGGGAGGACTTTTGATGTTTACACAAAGTTATGGAAGTTCCAACAGCAGCATAGGGCCATTTTAGATACCAAGTATGGATTGAAACGATGGCAAATTGGGGAAATAGCATCAAAAATTGGACAACTGTACTACCATTTCTAGTAAGTCGACATTGTATGTTTCGAAATATAAAAATAATGATGGGTGGCTTTATTTGGATTGCCTAATTTAGTATTCCTGCGCTTATTCATCTACATTGTCTTTCAGCCTCAGAACCAGTGAAACTGCTTATCTACACGAGGCCTACGCGTTTTATCATGCTATCAGAGGCAGGTGTTATTACACTCAAGCAAGCAAAGAAGACAAATGCGAATTAATGGTCAAGAAACTAAGATATTATGCAAGGTTTATAGTTGTATGCTTGCTTTTAAAGAAAATTAAAATAGTAAGGGATCTCATAAAAGAACTGGATAAACAAATAATAGAATATGGTAACACATATGATCCCGATGATCAGGTCGAATGGACAGTGGTAGTAGATGAAGTGAAAGCATTTTTACAAGCTGAGTCGGTAATAGCCGTGATACATTCAGATGGAGTACCAGCCATTGTGTTTAATAGGTACAATTATGACAAAGTTCGATAGAATGTTTAATTTGTATTTGTACTTTATACGTTTATGCATGGTAATTGTCTGTTGAATTCGTCAGGTTATCTCCTAACGCTTCTCCACCCATAGAACGCTCTCCACAAACGAGCCTAATCCTCCACGAGGCACTTATAATCGGTAGCAGCTCCCAACAAGTCAAATTCTCGGAATTAACCATGGATATGTTCCGAATGCTTCAAACACTAGAAAGGGAAATACCCATAGAAATGCAGCATGCGTACGAAGACTCTCCTCGGCAGAGATACCTATCGACTCCAAACAATCCCACCAATAAAGGTAAGCAAACACAGACAACTATATTTCAATCTTTTGTCATAGCGAATTGCAAATGCGAATTGTGTATGTAATTTTCATTATAAGACTGTAATATTTTAAAGACGTGAGCTGCCGTGCGAACATTTTGTATTTTGGAAAAAAACTTTTTTTGGATCGAAAAAAAGTTTCATGTCCAATGTGTAGCAATCGCGAACACCAATTTTCTTAAGTAAAACTATAACACTTAAATACTGACTTTGGAAATTGACCTTGGAACGAAAACCGCACTCCATATGGATATGTCATTGTTTCAGGGTACCTCGAAAATGGCCATAGGTGTGAGAATCCACACAAATATCTCCTATTTAAACCTTCGCCTAGTCAACTGTTAGTATACTTAGCTAGTGGTTGTAATGAGTTACCACATACAGGTGCATTACTTCTTTACATCTCAGCCGATGGACAAAGTTTACAACCTTCAAGAAATCCTGAAGACGGTAAGCGGCTTGAGAAACGGCTACCTTGTATAATGGAAGCGCATTTTTCTTATTTATTAAATTGTCTCCCAAGACTTCAGAGTTGCAATTTTATCAGTGTTTCGTCTGATTGAGAACGTGTGATTGATTGATGATTCTCTAAATTTTTACCTTATTATTGATACAAAAATCAGAAACAGTATTGTCATCAATATCGAGTTCCATTAGTAGACTTTTCTTCATGTTGTTGGATCATTGATCAAAAACAATTCTCGTAACAATGTAGTGGATTATTTTCTCAAAAAACTCATGAATAGCATGGTAGTAAAGCTTTATGATATTTAATAAATAAATGTTATATTTTCTTTTCAACCCGGTGCTTGATGAATGTAATTGAGGCAGTACTTTTTTTCAGTGGGTTACGATGCTGGTGGTCTCATAACCACTTCTAAGACTGACATATATAAAGAATGCAATAAGGAGAAGTCTAAGTATAGAGAGCTGCAATGTCTGTATCCTGGTGATTTAGTTCCTTTCACAAGAAGGCCTTTGTTCATGATAATTGACTCCGACAATTCATTTATATTCCAAAATATGCCTAGACATTTTAGCCAACCCTTGGTCATACTCATGTCACCGATGGAATTGCCTTCTCCATTCCAAGGTAAGCGTGAATTTGTGACAACGTAGTCTTTGACTCCGGAGGACAGGGGCTAAAACTAGAAACTTAAAATTTACTTCAAGTTATTTGGTTCATATTTGTTTAGTAGCAATTGTGTTATTAACTACGTTGATTATGTAAATAATGCCTTTCTGATCCTTCAATCCGAGTGAATTATTCCAATACGCTGTATAGGAGACTGTGCTATCCTGTGCATTATGTCACCGACAATTGTGTGGCACATTAAAGCTGAGTTTTCACTGTACTAGTACTCTCGGGTGACTGCCCGGGCGCTATTTTTACTAAGTTACTCGGATCTTTTCATGAAAACAAAATGGCGCCAACTAAGAAAAGTAGAACGATCGTGATACTATGTGGTTTTAAACGTGTTTTTATCTTCCTCTTCTACTTCACGAATAAAATTATTAGAAGAACCCAATTGGTCACATGTTAAAATACATTTTTTGGTCCAATCTCTCTTGCTTTTTTTTCCCCTTATGACTTTGTACTTCAGCCATTACCATATCTGCAGCAACTCTTATATCTCGCAGCAGCATATCAGCCGTCGTCATCTTGATTGTGAAAAGAGACAAATGCTACTTGCTGATAAACTCGTAACGTATAAGTAAACCAAAATCGAAGTTTAACACGTATAAGCGCATTCGGTTCGAGAAAACTCGTATAGTGAAAACACAGCTTAAAGAATTTTTGTTTCAGACCGACGACCACAGGGCAGTCTTTTCACATTGTTCCTTCACGCACCTTTGACAGCATTTTGCTACATTAGCGATGTTCACACTCTATCTGTATCACTATGGGACAGAGCTGCAATGTATATCGACGCATTTATGAACGAAGCTGCCCAGCTCTTCCCAAGAAGTAGAGTGGGTAAGTGACATATGGTCTTACTGCCATTATTTGTAATCTAATACTATCGTGTCTTTATATATATGTGCCGCACTGTGAATGTATTTTAATACATAAAGAAACAACTAATGATTAGGTGATTGAAGTCATAGGAAGTTGACTTTTTTTTTAATTTGTTTTGTGTTGCCGTAGCTGTGCGCATCATATTATGACAATTATTAATATGCGAATATGTACTAGTGATGCAACAGACCTCTGCTTCTGCTGCGGTGGTTCCGTACATTTTTTCACATCTGATTCCGTTTCTGCTTCCGCAACTTTTACAACGGAACTTTTATCGTTGGGGACGGATTGGGCGCTAGCGCGATTTACTTTTTATGTTAAGCGTATTTATAAAACTAAAAACAAGCCCTATCTGAAACAATTTCGTAAAGATTTTATATTGTTTACACTTACGCTTCCGTTTCCGTTTCCGCTTCCGCTAAGATTTACTTTTAACATCTGTTTTCATTACGACACTTCCGTTGCATCACTAATATACTCGTATAATTCGTTTAGCGAAACTTTTTGGTAAGCCTTATAACAAGCAGAATCGTCGCTTCTGCAATAACACAAGTCGTGCATTATCCCTATGTCATTATAATCGTCAAAAATGTTACGATGTAATCACTTCCTATCACAAAAACGTAGATAGATTTTGTCAGGCCATTTTAAGTTATAAACTTATTATAATGTATACTTAACTTCGAAGGCATCATTATTATTCAATCTTTAGTATCATAGCATTTATAAGTCTGATTGCATCCAAAAATCGTAATTAAGTCTTTACTAGACGCAACATTCTATTAAAGTTTTTAAAGTATTAAGTTTCCAATATCAGCGAAGCAACAAAAAATATGCTGTTACTGTATGTACATACAATGCGTTCTATTGGCTTCTGGCCTAATCAGTACTAGAAGCATTAAGAGGAAGAGTACAGTCGCGTACATCTGTTGATCGGAATTAAATGAGGTGTGATTGTTCAGGTGAAAAAAAACTTTAAAATATGTCTCAGTTGGAGGTCAGCAGTTGAATGAATAATGGATCGATAATAATTCAAATGAAACAAGTTCATCTGCTTATAGCATAAGCGTAACCAACAGTTCAGTCGATAGTCGACTGAATATTTATCGATTAAAATCACTAGCTGCTTGCATGCGGGCAACACTTTTGCGTAATGAAATGTCATGTTTGTACTCCGTCCAACCCATGGACTTACAAATAAATGGACGACGGGTCTAATACAAAAACCACGAAAAAAATGTCCCAAGTCAACCTATTCGAAATTTAAATTGTTATGTCATCGCAGTATCGCGCTGTCCGTAGAACAAATGAAGACTAAAGCGGAGTGTCGCGCTCTGTATACGATTTTAGCGCCTTACAAGTGCGGACACTTTTTAGCGCGGACCCGACGTCCATATAATTGTAAGTCAATGGTCCAACCATTAATTTAACTTTTGACAGCTCGAATTCTAATCAATTAGTGATGGCCTAATGCGTTTCCGATTCGATATTTTAATAACAAACGATTTTATTTACGATGAAGTTTATTTCGTGAATGTGAGCGGGTTCAAAAAAGAAGATATTGTCTGATAGCGATCTTGATATTGCATTTCACAATTTGTGTACTGAAGAATTAATGTTAATGAGGATTGAAGTGATGATTCCCGTTCATATGGAGAAGAACCCTACGATTCAGTACAATAAACATTAAATTATTATGATTATTTGTAATTTAAATAGTTTCATCACAATTTATTAGACAGGTACCGTTATTTATCAACTTGAGTAATCTTCGTTAACTAATCTGTTGGCTCGATAAATATCGGAGCTAAAGAGCACGGCGCTTCACTAGAATTTAAAAATAAAAGTGTCCAGGAAGCATTGCATTTTTTGTCTATGTTTGTATATCAATAATTACGGTACTTCAGAGGCATGCATATATCAAAAGTTAAATAAATAGTTGGGCGGAGTATACTTGTAGCTATCGGTTCAATAATTTGGATTATATATTTCATAGAATTACGCGACTTAAATGAATAATAACTAAATAATTAATTTTTCTGAGTGCAATCAGACCTAGTGGCAGAAAAAATATTTCAGTGTGGCACATTTTACTTTGTAACTTAGAAGAATAGTGACTCATGTCAAAATAGATCATTGCTACGTATTACCTACAAGACTTCGAAGTTTTCATGGTTATTACGATTTATCCGCTCACGCGATTCGCTCCTCCTACCGCAAAATGGTGACTATTTGGTTTCGCAAATTAGAAAAGCATTCAGTTTAAATTCAAGTTTTTACTCCGTACCTCCGTGCTACCAACAAAAACATCTCAAATAAAATGCAGTAATACACCGCAAATCCTGCACTTAAAAAGCACTAATGACATTTTTGGTGTACTTGGATAAATATGATAATATTCCGTTTGAGTGGTTCTAACGTTCACCATGAAATTACTCCTTAAAGTATAGTTTATAAACATTTATATTCAGGGTAAACTTAAAAAACGCTACTTATGGTATGTTTTCAATAAATAAACACCGAAACCACCAGCCCAAACAATAACACACACGATTGTCGTGACGTATTTTTGAAGTTGTAAATTTTTTTTAAATGACAAACCCAGGCATTAAAAACTTTATGGTTTGCTAGGGTAGTTACCGAAATAGAAATTAATATTAGTTCTTTTACCTGTTATAACTTCGATATCCGATAAATCGGTATAAAATCATCACCGGCACCTCTAGGTGTGGTATGCGTCTACGGCTGCATGTATCGCGTGAGCGGTTAGGGGTTTTTATTTTTACTTATTGGGAGAGTGGAATAGTAATGGAGAGCCAATTATAGGGACATATATATCATATATATCACCGATAATCGAGTATATAACCAGAAATAGAGACGAAATGTCATTTAATTTGTTTGAAAACTATTCTGCCATATCATTACGGTGATTGTTGCGCTCCGATTGGCTAGCGCGAATTTGAAACAATTGACGGGTGTCGTCAACTGTTTCACTTCAAATCGACCAGTTAACTTGAGCTTTGCTATAATGGACGAAAATTGCAAAATTACATATTTAATTACCGATGAAATGTGATTGCGTTTGTTTTGTAATTAGATATTCTGCGGTTTTTCACCACACCACCGAATGGAACAGCGCGCCATTGTTAGAGATATTATCTTTATGACAATAAATACATAATATTTTTGGAATATACGGAGACGTACACACAGGCCAGTTGTACTATTTCAGCTTTCAAATTTGTAATTTCAGTGCAAACGAGAGTTGATATTTATAAGTGATGTATCACTTATGGCCTTTGTTTCGTCTCTATTTCTGGTTATTCGATGTCACCGACAGGCACACATTAAGGCAATGATATAAGTAGTAACTATACTATATAGGTAATGACATTTTCGCAACACTTAGTAATTACCTACTTTGTACATAAGACACGCCCCAGTATTAATAAACCGTCTTTGTAATGTTTTTGAGATAAGGAGCTACTCTAGAAAGAGTATTGAGAGATGCCGCAACAGGAGTAACGAATATGAAAAACATAGATAATAGGAAATGAAACTATTTTTCCGGATTTAAATCGCGTACATTTGTTTTTTCAAACAAACGTTCGTAGTATTTCCTCTAATGAAAAATCCCAAACAGACATAACACTTCAGTACTAATTAATATGTTTTAGTTTATTATAATTTCTATTAACAATTAATAATAAATTGAACTTAACAAAAATTCATTCAACAAAATAATTTGTAAAACTTAATATAGCGTAAATTGGTATGTTTTCTTTGTAAAATTAAAAATAAGGTATTTAATTAATAACTTTTGTAAGTATAGTGAAAAAATAGGGTGGTTTGCATCAATATTAGACATAACTGGTTGAAGACTGTACCACCTCAGTCAACCGTGACCATGGGACCTGTAAAGGGCCCGAAACGTCGGTTTGTTTGAAAAAACAAATATACGCGATTTAAATCCGGAAAAATAGTTTCATTTCCTATGTGTAACAATCGCGAAAACCTAAGAACTCGAAACATAGATAATATTTATTTGTTATGCATTTAACGTGAGTGCTCGTATTGAAATCTGGGCAAGCGAAGGAAGCTAAGATTGCACCACGAACGACGCGAGTGGTTCAAAAGTAGATTCCAGAGCGTAGCGCTGGTTTCAAGACACGGGACGCAAAACAACTTTGCCGCCGAGGGAAACACACAACTTTTCACCTCACTATAGCGAGGAAAATGGTAGATGAAAGAAAAACAGTTGAACGTCACTTTTTTAATTAAAAGAAAAAGGTTATCTTCGGATGCGTTCTGAATTCACATCTCATCAATTTTTGTTCTTGCTTGTACTTTTATTTTGTGTGATTAAGTGATTATTGAAATTATTTTAGTTTTTCGACGAATTAAAAAAAAATAAACATTGTCAGTTTAATGTCAATCATAATAAGAATAAAACTAAACACTAATAAGTAATATACGACAAAACGCGTAGTTGAACGTGTCATTATCTTTTTTTTTCATCGAAAGGAAAAGTTTGGTGCACCACACCACAGTCCATCGTCAAGTTAGAATTTCAAAAACCTTTTCTTTTTCTTTTCTGATGAGAAAAAAAGCCTTTCCGAGCTAGTGAGGTGACAAATATATTAAGATTTAGAATAATACACGTTGACTGTGCGAATGAACTAGGATATTCAAAGAATGGCGAACGGCATCGCGAATCACAAGAACGCTCAAGGAAATATATAAGAAATATTATTAGGTATAAGTGTGTGTTAACGGCAATGTGTATAATTTAGGGATTGTATAGAGTACCTATTAAATGAGAGACAAAAAATAGTAGTCATTTTTGTTTGCATTTTTGAGATGATGCGACCCTGTCTTGTCTGTTTAAGTTAGGCTAGAATATGAAAAAGCTACCAGAACCAAAATTGTTTGCGTTTCCAAATTGAGTCGATAATTGAGTATAATGGTTTTTATTTAAAGTTGAATATTCAGCGTTGTTCATTAAAAAAAAATTACATAATATTGGCGCTTGGTACTGATGAAGTTGAGTTTAAATTTTTAATATCATTTGTATTTTAATTACCAATTCTTATAATTACCTAGTTATTCTTACCAAGTTAACTATTGTGACACTTGGACGTGCATGAAATATTCTTCCTACCACACAAATATATTTTATAGAATATTTAGTGTATGACAGAGTTTATTTCATACATTGTTTGACTATTTTAGGCATTGTACAGAATACCGGATTACATACATTGCCGATAACATACACATAGTATAGTGTTGTACATATAGTGCCATCAAATTAGTACAACTATTTTTTTCTTTCGAAGATATGACGTACATGTCGTTTATCGGTGACGATTTTCTCCGAGCTCTGGTGCTGCGGTTCGTGTTCTGTGAGGTAACCTTACGTCTGCACCGCGCGTTTCGTGCGCGCACGCATCTGACGCGAAGCTCTCCGCCTTTACCAGATGACTTACTCGATCACCCGAGCTTAATACAAATTGTTATGGATTTGGCGAGTCATTTGCAGGTAATATTATTTATAGGAAATACACTCACGGGCAATAAATTCTAGTCAACTACAAATTCAGATTTTGGGGCACACCGGTGCAGACGAACGTGTCTCTGCAGCTCGTAACCCCAGCGAGTCCCATACCCAAGTGCGGCTCCACCAAGGACGCCCATGAAAGCATATCACTACGTAACACTATCACCAATACATTCAATGACACTAAATACAATTTATATTATGAATTCGTTGCCCATGAGTATTGTGTGACATTTTTTGTACAAAATTTACGTTTAGGTTGTTTCTTCTATGCCATAATCTTCGAGGTGCGTATGTTACTACGTGTATTACCACCTCATAGCGAGTGTCCAAATGAAGCTGTCGCTACGGTTTGGACAAGCCCTACGTCCAGATGAAGAACTGAACCAGAATAGTGATTACCATTGCGGAGAGCAAGTAAGAGAGACGTTCGATGTCCTAGGCCAGTATCGACATAACGCTGGGCATAACCGTGTAATAAGACAACACATTCGCATAATAATGAAATGCGCTTAAGACGGCCAGCGTCATATAACGCGAAAGCGTTACGAGATTATGCGAAAGTGTACACGACACAACGCTGCTACGTTTGTCTATACAAACTTAGTTACCATACTGCCTTCGGAGCGAAAAAGTGCACAACTAACATTTTTATCAAAATTTAGTTATATACATATTCGGAATCAGGAAAAAAAGACCAATCTACTTTTTTTGTAGAAAAACATGTCAGTAATTGCTGAATATACTGCAAGGGCCAGGGGCACAAATGAATTATAATTTATTATAAAAAGGCATATTTGACATTTATTCTGTTAAAAAATCTAACATCAAAGAATTTTACTTAGTAATGTGTACATAACCTATACTTCAATTACAATACAATAACACAAAAATGGCACAATAGAATACAAATGGGCCTTTTAGTTCTATTTACGAGTTAAGTTTTAAAACTCACATTAAATTATTTATGCCGTTCATATGCAGTAATAATGTTTTTGTAATTTTTTCTACTGATTTAAGTGAGATAAATAAGGTGTTTAAAATACAATAAAGGTTTCTGTATATAACATTTATGATAAACTATTTAATATCAAACGCATATTTCAACTATTGTTTTTGTCAGAAAAACCTAATAAATATTTAAACACGTTTACCTCCAAATTTAGAATGTACTACTTATGCCTTTCTTTCTTCCGGAGGCAGCATGCTTAGTTTTATTATAGGTACTGTGGCATAACGAAGAACCTGTAGACTTCTCAAGTGTTCTGAGTCGTTACTTCAATGATAGCGGCTGGTAAGTAGAACCGTAAGCTCATACAAGTTTTTTCCACAGGTCCGAAGTCATTTCCAAGAGGCCAATGCTGCTGGGCCGCCTCCTCAAAAGGATCAATGATATACCCGAACCCCGGGTGCAGTCAGTTTCGTCTACCCCGTGGCCCATAATAATTAAAGTCCCCAAAGTGTTACGTAACGTCCTCCAAAATAAGTGCTCGATAAAGATAATTGTTGAAGTGAATTAGTCAAGTGTCAAACATTGAAAAAAAAAAATTAAATATAAGTCCAAAAAGCAAGAACTCAACGGACTCCTAAAATTAAAATTAAAATTTCAATCGTGATATTTTATATAAGTATTTAATGTAAAATAACAAAAGAATTTCTCTCAAATATAATGTTGTGAATATTTAAAAGTTAACTCTAAACAAACCTTGTTCGAACAATACGCGAATAAATACAAGGCTATAACTTAACTGAGTAGTGTACAAATGTAAAAATAAAAATAACTTACAAAAAACTTTATTCAAATACAATTCAAAACGTTCTAAAATTATAAATAATGCTACATATGCATAGATATAAAACCAATACGAAGTCAACGAAGAACTTCGGAACTCAAAATATGACAATTTGTGAATGTGGAACTAAAACATTTGAAACAAAAATTAACTGTCGAAAATTTGAAATGTTTAATGTGCGCAATACACGATGCGCGATGCAAATCACCGGCCAGCTAATTGTAAAAAACAATAGACAATACAATGTTGTGCTTAATAGTGATATTATCGACTTTAAAAGTGAAACATAGGGAGTATTCTTGTAAAGAGATATGAAAAAATTAATTGTACACTATTTCGAAAATGGATAATTCTCATGATACTTGTGTCCTGAATTTGGCTATTGTATGCGGGCTGTTATAAACTGAGGATTTGTATTTTTCATCAATAACATTATGGAATCTAAACTAAGTAAATGATTAATATTACTTGAGGCGGTTTGATTTTTGTGGTGTGTTGCTCCTAGCACAAATGTATCGTTCGTTCTTTAGTTTTTAAAGGTTCTTGGGGTCTTTGACACCGGGTCATCTGTACCATTTTCTAATTTATTTTTAGGCCATAGTATAAGCGGAATTGAAAAGTATTCACATAATAAGCACTTCAAAAACAGTTTTGTATTGTACTAAGATTTGTACATCGACTTCTTGAGTTTTCGCGATTGTTACACAAAGGAAATGAAGCTGTTTTTCGGCGCAATTCTAAATCGTGAATGATCGTTTTTGTTTTTTCAAACAAAACAACGTTTCGTTCCTTTTACTGTTCTCGAGTCGAAGGGCGCTTTCCGAGCTATTCGGAACGTTCGAGTTAAACATTCAATTCGGATTCGGATACGATACGGTTATCTAACAGCGTTTACGGAGTTAGTCGGTGAAATAGATTAGAAGAAAAAGGAAAATTCTTTTATATATGAACAGCAAACAGCCATCAACTTGCACACTGCCTACTGTTACAAAAGACACAATTAACAAATGTTTGAAACACCTAGTGAACATATATGACATATCAGTAAATGTACTTATAATTGCCTGGCCACAACTCGTCAATGAGATGTTCTGCACGGGAGTGTATCCTAACGTGCGTGTATGTCCTGTGTGCAAGGGCAAAGGTGAGATGAGCAGAGTTGATAATTATAGATCTATAACTATTGTACCAAATATTTCAAAAATAATTGAGTCGATTATTTCCTCTCACCTAGTGTCACATTTAGAATACAATGATCTTGTGGCAAACAACCAATATGCCTATTGTAATTCGGTAATTCTACCAACTAAGTCTACCACACCGGCTGCACAGAGGGTGGTAGACTCAATAATTACGGGGTTGGATGGTAAGAGCAATGTAGCTGGAATGTTGTGTGACGTGTCAAAAGCGTTTGACGTAATCAGTCACGAATTACTCTTGGAGAAACTATGTCACTATAGTATGCGCAGCAAAACATACGATCTTCTGAAATAATTTATAGCACGCAGAATTCAGACAGTTGGAGTAATATTAGGTAGGAAAAAACTACTCATTAGTGGACGTGACGCGAACCTTGGAATTCCTCAAGGATCTTTACTAGGAAATAACCTCTTCCTGACATTTATTAAGAGCTCTCATGCCAAAAAAGTTTTGACGTTGGCTCCGCCCAAATTTGTGAAACAAATATATGCCTGAAGTTCGTGTGACATGCGACAGGAGATGTTGAATTTGCGCATTAAAAGTACCAAATTCGTTTTAGCGGAATAACTCTAAAACTAAAGGGATTTAAAAAAATCCGTAGTGACAGTTGTCGATCATGCATAAATATTACATCCGTATATTCTTATACGGACATGGTCTTGTAATATATGTTGTAATTTATAGATTATTTTATTTTATATTATTATATTACTTAATATGTTCCTACATTATTTCACGTAACTACATTAACTATGTTAAGATTACGTAGTACAAAACTTTTACTGTATGTTTGTGCTTTTTTTAAAAGTAACATTTGTTACAATTTGTAACGATTCTTGTAATACAATATATTGTATACAATAATGTAAAGTTTACAGTTTACTTTAAAGGCCTAAAATATAGAAATGCAATAGTCTTGCATTAAAATAAATTAATATAATTTAACAATATTCAGACTTTATTTCAAATAACAAGAGATTTCCGTATTACGTTCTTGCTTTGTAAACAATAGGACGTTCGGTCACTTTCATACGATAACTCTGAATAACGTTTGTAGCCTTTTCGAATACGACAGTTTGACGTTCGATTCGGGTGTTGTGAATCAAAATGAAAAGTAATAATCGTACGATATCAAATCGAATCTGTCGACAACGGAGATATCGTAAGGGTAGAAACGACCCCCAGGTCACGCGTAAAGGAACCGAAACTTGTATTTAAGTCTGATTTAGACTCGAAAAAATGGCTTCATTTCCTACCGTTCAAAATTCGAAAAGAACTACGACACATATGTTACCAGTCACAAGATCACCATCACTGCAGCACATTAATGTAAATGAAATAATTAATTACATATATAGATATATATAAATCCGTTTCCATATAAATGGCGGAGCGTCCCCCGAGAGATACGCGGAGAGAAACACTCTCCAGCATTAACTCATTCAATCGGGGATTATGTAACAACCGGTTGTAGTTTGATAGATTTTCGCTCAACATTATCAAATTGTCCAGTCGGTGACGAAATAATAATGTTAGTATAATATAAATTCGTTTATTCACAGTTGGAAAGAATAAAAGACAGACTTTCTTTTAATATTAAATAAGTGCGCATTTGACCTCCGTCTTAACTTATAGAAAGTGACGATGAGGCCGACGATGTAGCATGCACACCGAAATAATGCCTATTCACAATCGACTTGAAAAAGTCCAAGTTATACCGTTCTCGGAATAAATCCGCAAGTAGGGAATTCCACTCTCTAGCCGCTCGCCATATAAATGTGAAAAGCGAAATGCTTCATGTGAATCCTGGGAATATCCACAACATAAGGGTCGAATCCCTGCCCACGTCTATTCCCCCGATGATGGAAAGGGGAAGACGGAATCAAATCGTGCAATTCCATCGCACACTCTTCGTGATATATCCTGTACAATACCGACAAGCAGGCAACTTGGAATGCTTATCAATTGAATACAAGATCACATTAAAATGGATTTTAATATTACGCTGCGAAAATTGTTTACTTCTTCTGTTAACGCAAAATAACTCGTATTGTTGATATGTGGAAAACATTTGACCATCGATTTAGTTCTTTGTTTCATACGGCAACTCTGTCAACGATTATTATGTCAAAAGACTGTTGTTACACTCATCACTACGACGCCTCCATATGATCCCACAAAGAATGGCTCGATACCTCAGTGCTTAACGCCTGCGCAATAGTGTTGATAATAAGTGCTACTAATTATAAATATCTTTTTTTAAATGCAAAGATATATTTAAGATATAATTACTCTTATAGAGGTTAATATTGTAACTGATATTTGCGGTTTTATACATACAAGGTATCGATTGTTATTTTCTTCAATTTCACCACAACACTTTATATTCGAGTCCAAAATTAATAATAACTATTTGAAAATATTATCGTAATCCCTTATTCTTTGCGTATTTCTTTCTCTCTATTAAAAATTGGGAGTTGTATACTTGTAGACCTTATGTAACACGTATTGGCATTCCTAATCATATTTTTCACCAGTAGGTGTCTGCCTACCCCGATGGGAAAGGATATGAAGTGTTGTATGTGTGTATGAAACTGTACATTTTTCAAATTGCGTACATTTTTCTTCTAATCGTTAATAACAATGTGGCAGGCAACTGCACCAGTTCTGCAGGTTTTAACCTAGAAAATCCCACTATTATGACTCACCATCTTGAACTCATTTAATACGTCCTACTGCTGGGCACAAATGTCCTCGCCTTGCAAGCCCAAAGCAGGTTAAGGGCTGTGAACCTTCTTCCACGTGCAGGTTTTATCACAGGAAAACCTATGGAAAATTACAGATTTTTTGCAGCAGTAGAGCTCGTCCACGGAAGTATTGCCACCTTACGTATTTCTGCTGCCAAGCGGCAATGTGAACATTACTGTTATCCGGTTTTGAAGGGCAAGAGTGCTGGTGACATAGCAGGCACATGGGACTTGTTAACTTATGTCTCAGGGTGACAGATGCAGTGGAAATGCACTTCAGACCTTTGCGATTTAAAGCTCTGAGTGCAACAAAAAATTGCACATAAACTCCGAAAAGCTTGTGCCAGCCCAAACATCGTATTTTTATACCAAGTCATGAGACGAATATGCGCCTATCCATAGCAGTTTAGAGCTTAGTTAGTAGAATTTAGAGCTTTAAAACCAGAGATCTGATCTTGATAAGTCTCATGGGCCTGTTTCACAAGCACCCTTCTTGGCGGCAAATATACATATGTAGGTAAGATGGCAGTACTTCCCTAGACGAACCCTTTCATAAGGAACTCTACTGCGATAGGCTACTACAGTCTTTGAATACAGTATTATGAGTATCGGAGCAATAACCAGAACCATTTCAGATAAATTGTTTTCTCAAAATACTTCCTTCCTTACCTAACCGCTAGTTATATACAATAAAATTGTTATTCTGTTAACCAAAACAGTGTATTTCACAT